TGTATTGTTTGTTGAATTGGTTTTCATTAATAAGTATTTATAGAAGAAATTGAAATCAAATTTTCGTGAATCCATGGATTGAATGTGTGTTTGAAATGTGGAAATCATTTCATCGGTTATACGGATATTATGCGCGAAAATGTCGTTGAATTCATTGACCATATCCTCGACCGATGGGATAGTTTTATTTGTATAATCCTTATCATTTAAATACTCTTTAATTCTATGAGTTTGTATACCCTGGTCAGTCGGTATGTTGTCCCTAAATGATATTAAATATATTATATTATTAAAAATTATATTTAATTCAGAACATTATACTTACATTTTCAGAATTTTCCAAAAAATATTATAAATCTTTTTCCGGTAATAAATATAATAACAATCAGGCCAATATTCTTTTGCTTTTTGAGAATAGCGTGTATATACCCTGATACATCTGTCATACTTCATATGAGTGTCAATTAGAATATCATCATCGCTTATATACGGTTTGTCTAATATTCTCCGCATTTGCTCAAAATAATGAAGACATTGCAAGAGTTCTCGTATTAATTCACACGATATGTAGAAATCAATACAAATCATGTCAACTGAGGTCTTGGTTTTGAATATGTTAGTTTTTCCTTTAATTAAAACCCTTAAATCTAGTGAATTATATTCATATTGAATGAATGCATTATTATTTTCAATCCAAAAGTTGTAATATTTGGCAGAAATATTCGAATTCGTATCAAATATTTTGTTTATGCGAACAATTAATTCATTCATTTCTTTAACAGAAGCTATATATAGAGGTATATAATATGATTAAATATATAACATATAATTACAACATGTAGATAATTGTTTTGCAATTTCTATTCTAACCTGGCATATTTATTTTATATATGTTATACACATGTCCTGAAGATATATGTTTATATTTATATGATGTATTAGAGTAAGTATAAATCTTTTCAAACATGGACTCATTGATTTCCCCTGTTTCTAAATGATAAATAATTACAAAATAATTTTCTTAAAATTTTATTTGAATACAAACCTAAACTTGTTTTCTGATTATTGTTTCGTATGAAACAAAATAGTTTACTTCTCAGAAATATTTTCAAAATTGTATTGTCATTAATATTAGTTTTAATTAATTTCCACTCATTTTCCCCAATAATGGGTTTATTTGTCATAAATGTCTGCAATTGTGATAAAATGTGCGAACATTCGGGTCTTTGCCTCCAATCTGTTGAACCGTTTTTGCGATACTTATTGACAGCCATTGACACCAATAATGCATTCATTTTAATATTAAATTCCAAATTATCATATTTTCCAATTCTGTAAAAGTTTTAATTATTTTTATAAACTTATAAAAATTAATTTAGTAAGAATGAATCTCTAATATAAACATACTTTCCCTCAATTATATCGTATGTATCGAATCCAAAGATTTTGGCCCCAATTAGGGACAGACTGTAGATATCTATTAAATGGTTGTATTTTATTGGATATGAATTTACTTCCGGTGCCATATAGTTGATAGTTCCCACATCTGCCGTATGCTTTGCTTTAGACATTTATGACAAATAAACCCATTATTGGGGAAAATGAGTGGAAATTAATTAAAACTAATATTAATGACAATACAATTTTGAAAATATTTCTGAGAAGTAAACTATTTTGTTTCATACGAAACAATAATCAGAAAACAAGTTTAGGTTTGTATTCAAATAAAATTTTAAGAAAATTATTTTGTAATTATTTATCATTTAGAAACAGGGGAAATCAATGAGTCCATGTTTGAAAAGATTTATACTTACTCTAATACATCATATAAATATAAACATATATCTTCAGGACATGTGTATAACATATATAAAATAAATATGCCAGGTTAGAATAGAAATTGCAAAACAATTATCTACATGTTGTAATTATATGTTATATATTTAATCATATTATATACCTCTATATATAGCTTCTGTTAAAGAAATGAATGAATTAATTGTTCGCATAAACAAAATATTTGATACGAATTCGAATATTTCTGCCAAATATTACAACTTTTGGATTGAAAATAATAATGCATTCATTCAATATGAATATAATTCACTAGATTTAAGGGTTTTAATTAAAGGAAAAACTAACATATTCAAAACCAAGACCTCAGTTGACATGATTTGTATTGATTTCTACATATCGTGTGAATTAATACGAGAACTCTTGCAATGTCTTCATTATTTTGAGCAAATGCGGAGAATATTAGACAAACCGTATATAAGCGATGATGATATTCTAATTGACACTCATATGAAGTATGACAGATGTATCAGGGTATATACACGCTATTCTCAAAAAGCAAAAGAATATTGGCCTGATTGTTATTATATTTATTACCGGAAAAAGATTTATAATATTTTTTGGAAAATTCTGAAAATGTAAGTATAATGTTCTGAATTAAATATAATTTTTAATAATATAATATATTTAATATCATTTAGGGACAACATACCGACTGACCAGGGTATTATAACCGATGAAATGATTTCCACATTTCAAACACACATTCAATCCATGGATTCACGAAAATTTGATTTCAATTTCTTCTATAAATATTTATTAATGAAAACCAATTTAACAAACACTACAAACAATTCAGCTAAAGATTTGAGTCCAACGTCTTCTACAGTCAACCCAAATATACCTGAAATACAACCATAAAATTATTTTGTATCTATGTAAATTTCATTTACTTAATATGCAAGTAATTGTAAAATGAACTAAATTTATTAAATTATATATATAATTATATATATAATAATAAGAATATCATTAATCGATTTATGAGAATATTCTGTAAATATATATTAAAGAGAATACATAATATTCTTTAAAATAGAATTTTTGTGTTTATTTATAGAATTATTTGCTTTTTATGTTTTTTGGAAACTTTTGTTTCATCTTCAATGATATGCTATAAAATGTTTTTACGAAAAGATTTTTAATTTTATTATATTTATAAATCATGTTAACAAAATTGTATTTGTTTACAAAAAAGTATGGTATATATAAATATGCATATATGAATTAAATAATAGAAATGTATTTATTTAATTGGGTTATAATAAAAGGTTTTTCATAAAAATGATATAAGGTTTTGATTTTTGTTGAAATATTTAATGAATTTATGATCTTTTATTTTGTTAATTTACAATATATTTTAAATAAAATTAATACAATAATTTTATTATTTGTAAACCTTATGAAATTGCTATTAAAATTTAAAAATTAGTTATATATGTTAATATGTTACATAAAATATTTACGTAGTTTAATTACCATCATACGTAATCTTAAGTTAAGATTAAGTTATTTAATAAGCTAAGATTCTTAAATTAAGAATCTTAACTATAAAATAAGCAAAAATTAGTGATTTATGAGACCATTGTTAGGCCTCTATTTGTCGGTTAATCAAATTGTTTATCGTCCGTATTTTATAAGAAAGAAACTTTTTGAGGTGTTCACGGGCTAGTGTAGGCTTAATCTCTGCATTTTGTCAGTTTATGTCTATAAACTTGCTAAAAGAAGGTCCTATCAACTCTGTTATATCATATACTATTAAGCCCTTTATAAACACGTGGGCCATACGCAAAAAACGTTGCATATAAAATGACACTTTCAGTATGTTTTATAGTAGTGAATACAACTATTATATGTGACATCAATGTATAAAAAGGGCTGTCACTTTCTTATATAATACGGACGATACCACAAAACTTTAAGCAAAATTCCAGGAATTGATTGTTAATTACATTAAGTACAGAATCTTTCCATGTTCAATTTTAAAGGATAATTTTATTGCAAAATTTTTAATATAAAAAATACTATTGTTCATGAAATTAGCAATCATTTCCTTGATTTGACAAATATGCTTTAAATAACTTTATTATACAACCATTAGAGGGCTATCGGGGTACCATAAATCGCTAATTTTTGTCTATTTCATCAAGTGCAGTAGTTTTTCAAATTGAAAATTAACATTACATAAAACATTTAATTTTATATAAATATAATTTAACTTATTATATTATATTATTAATTAAAAAATATATAAATTATATTTAAATTTATAACTTTCTCTCTCTCTCTCTCTCTCTCTCTCTCTCTGCCTCTCTCTCTCACTATTACTATATGTATATACTAATATAAAATAACTAAATAATATAAAGATTTTAAAGGTTTAATTTATATTTAAAAATTACATATTTTTAATTAAACCAGTTTAAAAATTTTATGTAAGTTAAACTAATAAAAATTTTAATAAGTAAATAAGCAAAGAAGTAAATATATGTCTAATTAATTAAAACAATCTAAAGTTCATATTAAATATTTATTTATTTTTTAATTAATAATATAATATAATAAGTTAAATTATATTTATATAAAATTAAATGTTTTATGTAATGTTAATTTTCAA